AGACAAAAAAAAAAAAAAAAACAACAAACAAACAAACAAAAAACCCTGCACTTATTTTACAGTCCTCAGACTGGATGCTCAGTGTGTCTTTCTTGCTAGCAAGAGTGGGTCTGCTGACACTGATGAACTATGTCTGAACTTTCTCATTCATTGGAATTTGCTTTGGATGAGCTCCAAAGCCAGGCTGCTGTTTTTCAGTCTTTCAATAAAAGGGGAAAGTTGACTGAGTAGTTGTCCACATGACTTTCAGCTGTTGAAATACTTTAATGATACAGAAATTTTTGAAATGATTAGGAGACCGGAAATGTTAATGCTTTTTAAAACTCCATCAGCCAGATTCAACAGTAGTGTTTTTGAATTTCCCCTGATACTATGATGGAATTTTATATATAATGCACTTTTTGCTTGACTTAGGTTCTTTATACCTCATTTTATTCAAGTTCTTAGAATTTTAAGATATTTAGAAACTTCTCTGTGGTTATGAGTCTTCTTCATTAGCTGAATTTAATTGCTAATATAGTAAATTATTCCCCTTTTCAAAGCATGTCATTGAAGTAACTCAAACTCGCCATTATGAAAGAGTTATAAGTGCATATTTTGGAACTACCTAATTTTGACTATTCTCATACAAATATCACAGCTAAATGTTAGAGTTACACTTGTGCTGTTTGAAAGGCAAACTTTCATCATCTTTGCTCTTGCTGTTAATCACCTCTCACAAGATTTCCTTATGTTCTAGTAGAAAGGTGGTGGAAGTGCAGGCGAAACTGTGAGATCTGAACTGTGATCAGCAGACACTGGCTTCAATTTGAAATAGAAAAGGCATAAAAACTCATAGAGATGAAATTTTTAAGGCTTAAGAATTCAAATAGTGTATTGATATCATCTACACACATCAACAGATTTTCTTACTGATATCACCAGTTTACAGGTTGTACTAGAAATTATTAGTGGTTAAAATTTTAACAATCTTGTGTTTGTCATACTGTGGTGGTTAGGAGAACTTGAATAAGAGACTTTCAGCTGTAATTGACGGGTTCCAGCTGTGGCATTCCGGAATCCATTGCCATTTGTAGAAAGGGCAGAGCACCAATGGCTTGCTCTCAGCCAGGCACAGCACATGAGTTAAGCAGAGCTATCCCTGGAAGATGAGGGATTCCTTAGGGACTGACTTTGACTTAAAACTCTGCAGTAGCCTTGCTAAATCTTCCTTGGATATGGCAACAATCTAGAGGTTTTCCCTTGCTCTTCCTGGTTCCCGTGCTCAGGGTAGACATGCATGGAACGTCACAGCTCATCGGCTCTATCTAGCTCCCTCCCAAGTCTGCCTTGTCTGTGACTTTAGCCATGATTATTGTCCATATTTCAATATGGTTTAGCGATATCTCACAATTATAAAAATAACCCATGTTTATTTGACTATATCGTAGGCTTTTTATGAGCAATCAATGAATGAGCATACCTTTGAAATCTGCTTCTTAGGTTACACATCATCAAATATACACTGTTAATATCTAAGTTATTAGAAGTATGGATACAGCAGTTACATACCTATATTCACCAATGTGACAAAGCACCTAATGAAAGAAACCTAGGGAGATAAGGGCTTGTTTTGGCTCACAGTTTGAGGGTCTAATCCATTATGGTGGTGATGTCATCACAGCAGGAATGTGAGGCAGCCAGTCACCTCACATCTATAGTCAGGAAGCAGAGAGAAATGAATGCTGGTGCTCAGCTTACTTTTTTCTTTTTTATTCAATCTGGGACCCCAGACCATGGAATGCATGTCCACATATACAGTGAGTCTTCCCACCTCAGTTAACGCATTCTAGAAACAACTGTCAATGTGCTCAGAGGTTTGTCTCCCTAGTTGCTTTAAAACCTATCAAGTTGATGATATTAAAATCTCAAATGTACCTCTTGTCAGCCTGACACTCAAACACCTCAATTATAAGCCATAAACTTCCACCCCTTGTCCCAAAAGACTCATAATCATTTCATAATGCAAAAATGTATTTAGTCTAACCTCCAGAGTCTCCACAGTCTCTAACAGTTCCAATGCTATTCAAGAGTGTAAGTGCAGCAGAGTCTCTTCTGAGACTCAGTCTCTTAACTGTTAGCACTTATACAATATAAAAACAGGTTGCTTACTTTCAACATACAATGACACAGACTAAAAAATTCCCAATCCAAAACGGAGGCGTGGTGATAAGAAAGGGGAGATTGGACCAACACAAAACCCAAATCGATCAAGACAAACACCCAATCCTACAGCTCCATTTTGGAGATATAGGGATACTTACAGAATCATCTGAGTTCCAGTGGGACTTGGATATCCCTGTCCATCCAGCTTGCCAGCCTGCAACACACATAGCTTCTCTCTTGGGACAGCCCTGCACCTCAGATGCATCCCTTAACAGATGTCCCACAGTTTCAGCATCTCTGACATCCTGTGCCTCCATTGTAACCTGGGCTTCACCTTTATACTTTCACATGATGATCTTTCAGGGCCTCCTTGCAGAGAATCTGACCCTTCCACATATTGCTTGACCTTGTCTCAGTAACCTTCAAGAACCTTGGCACATGAATCTGTGACTATTATATCTCATATCAAGCCTGCACAGCTAATACCACTGTCCTGCCAGCTTGAGATGTAGTCTGTCACAGTTATAGCAGCCTGAGAAAATGCCTTCTTAGGCAGTTGTTTGCATCAGAGTACTCCTGGGGTAATGTCTTCAGTTCAGGCTCTCTCTTTTCAAAAGAATTTTTAATTTCACAAGTTGGATCCTTTTATGAGTGGGGTCAGTCCTGCCCTCTGGGCACCTTCCCACTGTCCCAGTGAAGAGTAGGGATTATATTTTTCTCTTTTAAAAATATTTTAAGTGTGTGTATGTGTGTGTATATACACACACACACACACACACACACACACACACACACACGGGGTAGGGGTGGGGAGTATGCATATATATGTGTACCTGTGTATGCCATGCAGTGCCCATGGAGACCAGAAGAGGATGTCTGATCCTCTGGAGCTGGAGTCACAAGAAATTGTGAACTGCCTGATGTGGGTGCTTGGAACCAAACTCAAGTACATTGAAAGAGTAACAAGTGCTCTTAACCACTGAGCAATCTCTCTAGCTTTTGAATTTTTATCTCAGCAATGCTAATCTCTTTAACAACTACAGCTGCTTTCTCAGCACCCACCTGTCTACAACTCTGAACCCCCTTCTTGCCTCACCAGATGCATATTTTCATATTTTCCTGTTCCACTCACTGCTTTTTCTCACTGAAGGCTTGGAAAAGAGTTGTAAAGAGTAATCATGCCACAGCCTGGATTCTGTTCTGTCTTGAGGTTTCCCCACCAAACACCTTAAGGCAGAGTCAAGTGTGATTCTTTATGAGAAAATAATACAAACAGCCTCTAGCTCAGGAATCATTACTCCTCTCTGGAACATTAAGAGCCATTCCTCCACTATTGTATTTCTCGTCATTCTGTTCTTTCAAACCCCCACCAGCATGGCCCTTTAAACTCTCCTTTCAGCATTCAAAGATTTTTTTACCCTGAAGTTCCAAACTCTTCCACACTCTTCCCACAAACCAGTTCTAAAGGAATGACATGGTCAAGCTTATCACAGTAATGGCCCCACTTCTCAGTACCATCTTCTTTTTTAAAAAAAGACATTATTTACTGTGTATGAGTGTTATGTCTGAATGCATGTAGTGCACCTGTGTCATGCAATGCCTGAAAAGGCAAGAAGAGGGCATCAGATTCCCTGGACCTGGAGTTATGGGCTGTTGCTAGCCACAAGGTTGGTACTGGGATTCAAACCTGGGTCTTCTGCAAGAGCAGCCAGTGCTCTCAACCACTGAGCCATCTTTCCAGCCCCAGTACCAGTTTCTTTCATTAGTTACTTTTCTTGTTCCTGTGACAAAACACCTGGCAAAAGCAATTTAAGGAAGGAAGGAAGGAAGGATTTATTTTGGCTTACACTTTGAGAGTACAGTGCATCGTGGTGGGGATGTCAGGGCAGCAGGTGTGTGAAGCAGCTGGTCACACTGCATCTGCAGTGAGGCAGCAAGGAGAGGTGAATGCCAGTGCTCAGAATCCCAGTCTAGGGAATGGTGTCACCCACAGTGAGTCTTCCCACCTTAACTGACCTCATTAAGACAATTCCCCACAGGCATCTCCCAGGTGATTATCAGTCTCATCAAGTTGACAATTGAAATTAACCACCACAGTTATGACATAGGTATATATAGGATCTGTTTTTTTTTCAAATAATTATTTAAATGTATAAGAAACATCTTGAGATTTATATTCCAAAATTTAATGATTCCTTCTGTACAGTGGAGAATTTGTTATTGGTTAAAGGTTTATCCTTTTCATTTTCATTTTGTAAATTTATTGAATACTCTCACATAAGGCAAAGTTTTATTAAAATGCTAGCCATTTTTTAAAAGAGATGCTTCCAGGTAACTATGATTATAAAACTCAATAAATATTGCAAAATGTTTTTCCTGATTAAAGAATCCCAACTATCAATTCCTGTACCTATAACTGGACCCTGCTCTTTCCTCCTTATGGCTGTATGCTTACCCATCCTCACATGTGTTTTGATGATAAACCAATTTTTTGGACTCACAAGAGGTTTTTTTCCACACTTGTCAAATCGTTCTGTGTGGGCTAGTTCTCGGTTTCAGTTTCTTCTTAATACCAGCTGAACAGTAGCCAAAGTAACTATTATCATTTAAACTTATGTGCCTAACTTTTGTGTATGCGTTGTGAGTGCAGTGTGTGTGTGTGTGTGTACATGTGTGTATAGGTTCTTTTTTAAAAAGTTCTGATTTATTTATTTTTATTTTATTTGTATGTGTATTTTGCCCACATGTAGGTAAGTACATCACATGTATGCAAATGGTCATGGAAGTGAGAAGAGGGCATCAGAGCCCCTGGACCTGGAATTACAGAGGATCATTAGCCATCATATGGGAACAAACCTAGGTCCTCTGGAAAAGCAGCCATTGCTCTTAATTGCTGAGTCATCTCTTCAGCCCCATACACAGGTTCTTATGTGTTCTGATTGCATGTGTAAATGTTCGTGTGTGAAGGCCAGAGATCAACCTCAGGTGTTTTTGTTAGGACACCATGCTCCTTGGTTTTTGAGAGAGGGTAACTCACTGGTCTGGAACTCATTGCTTCAGCTAGACTGGCTGGCTAGGAAGCCTCTGCTTGTCTCTGCTTCCCTAGTACTAGAATTGCAAAATGCCCCCACTGTGCCCAGCATTTTTACATGGATTCAGGGATCAAATTCAGGTCCTTGTGCTTACAGAGGTAAGGCTTTACTATCTCCCAAGAACATAATTCAGATGTAATGTTCAATATATAATATCAGTTAAATAATTGGCATAAAAATTACTTAGCCTATAAAGTTGCTTCCCAACCTGTATTGCATTCAGTTTTACACTTAGCATATTTTTTATATTTTCCTTCTTTTTATGCAGTGTAAATAGTTCAATTTCCAATTCTAACAGGCAGCATAGGCTATCAACAGTTCTTAGTGACTTGTCCAGAGACCGTTGAATTTAGATGCTATGTGAAATACCTATCAGGGTTTTCTTAAGAGCCAAAGAGGTTTGGATTATACGCAGTGGAATCAAATACTGTCTATTTTATTGATTATGTAATCTATTGGGTTTCTTCAGCTATCACCTTGAGGTAGGGATGCAAACAAAGCTAAATTTTCAGGAGGCAACAGACTTCTCCACAGTCCTGTTTCTCCTCTTTCCCCTTCGTTATCTCACTTCTGTGTCCCTCTGACTAAGAATGCAGTATGTAACTTGCCCCACTTCTAAAAAGCAGATGGGTTAATAAATCTAAGCAAGAAAGCAGTCTTAAACTTTCACATTGTTCTTCTGTCTGGGTGGCCAACTGGCCTCTATTCCTAGTACAGAGCTAGAATGTGGTAGCTGTGCCACACCCCAGGCCTCTACTGCTCCACAGACATTTCTGAGAGCACCTGAAATTGCAGAGAGAAAATTCTTTCCTGTTTGTGAATCTCAGTGCTAAGATATTTTGGGAAATGAGAAGGGTACTGAGCTCTCTGTTGTGAGGATAAAATCCTTCAGGGGCAGATCAGCTAATTGATGCCTAAATCTTAAAATTTTTTTGAGAATTTCATGTATGAGTGTTGTCTTTGCATTACTTCTATCCCTCCCAGTCCCCCATCAACTCCTCCCGTGTCTCCCCCATTCCTTCTCAATTTCTTGTCATATGTGTATATATAAGGCACTGAGTCTATTTAGTGATGCTTGTTTTTAGGGCTGCCCACTTGAGATTAGATAATCTCTCAGGGAGCTAGACCCTTGAAAAAATTGATTCTCCCTCCCTCAGCATCCATTGATTGCCTGTAGCTCTTCATCTAGAGGTCGGACCTCAGGAAATTCCTCCATTGACATTGGCATGCCAACTGGTTTTGTTGTTATGTAGATCTTGTTAGACTACCATGGAGCTGTCACGCGTGTAGCTTACCTATCACGTCTAGAATGCCTTAACTAGCAGCAGGGATCTTGTTCCTCTGGCTCTTAAATTCTTTCTGTCCCCTCTTCTGCAAGGTTCCCTGATCCTTATGTGTAGAGGTTACGGTGTAGATGTATCACTCAGGACTGAAGTACCTAGATCTTAATGGGGAAGAGAAACACACTGCTGGGCTGGAGAGGTGGCTCGGCAGTTAAAGAGCACTGGCTGCTCTTGCAGAGGACCCGGGTTTGATTCCCAGCATCCACACAGTGGCTAGGGCAAGTAACCCCCAGTAACTCCAGTTCTAGGGGATCCAACTCCCTCTTCTGACTGCACAACAAAGGTATACTTAGACACAGACAGCCAATACACTCACATAAAAATAAAAATAATGAATAAAAAATTTTTTATAAAGCACACCGGGCATGGTGGCCCACCCCTTTAATCCCAGCACTCGGGAGGCAGAGGCAGGTGGATCTCTGTGAGTTCAAGGCCAGCCTGGTCTACATAGTGAGTTCCAGGACAGCTGGGGCTACAGGGAGACCCTGTCTCAAAAAGACCAAAAAGCACACCGCATCAGCTGCAGCTTCCAGGATGGTGAGCAGAAGTATGTGATCTGAACAACTCCAGCACAGGAGGTGGGAACCCGAGGACAAGAACTCAGGCATGGTCTGTCTGCCTCTCCTTTTTATTTGTCATTATTAGTTTAGATTTTAAACTTTCTAGCTAAAAACAGAATTGAAAATCTTCTTACGAACACACATTACACTTTCCTTCATCCTAAATCTCTGTATTTTGTAAAAACCCTATTCATCAGAAAAACCTTTCTGCAGACAATAGACACATAAAGGTCTTCTAAACATTTGTTCCTCCCGCTTTCCTCAGAAGCATTATTTTCAATCACATTTGAGATAATCACTAACCTCTTAACAGAAGTCAAATGAAAATTTTAAAAAAATTTGGCCAAAAAATTAAGTGTGCTGTTTGACATATAACATGACTTTTACAATTTACACATTGGGTCAAACTCTCAAAACAAAAGCATATTTTCCTCCATGTAGAGCTCACACTGAGTATGCATACAGGCCACTTTGAATGGAAAAAGCTTTGACCAGCTTTTCTTTTTCCTTCCATACCAAAGCACAAACCAACAACATTACCGTGTGGCTTAAAAAGCAAAACTGAAGCATATCATTAAGAAAAATGCTGCGAGGTGTGTCTATGAAATGACTGCACTGAGTCCTTGAGACAAGGGAGCAAGACCACCCAGGCTTGTCCTGGACAATGCAGCCTCATCCTGGAATGGCTTTAGCTCACACTTTTTTTCGGGTTTGCTTTCTTTTGGGCACTTCTGGCTTTGATGTTCTTCTTTGGGCTAGCAGCTCTGGGAGCAGGTGTCTTTCCCTTCGGTTTAGGGGGATTATTACTTCGACTGGTACGGCTGGCTGATCGCTTCTTGTCCTGAATTGTTCTCTGCTGTTCTCGAAGCCTCTCTTCCCACTGCTGGGAGGCAATTTGTAAATGTGACAATCAAATACATTTCGCCGTTTTATGCTGTTCAACTGCTATCAGAATTTACCAGTGCAACTTTCACATCAGTACAGTTTTTCACTGTAATACCATGACAACTGCAATTATTATAACTGCCCTGTATTCACCATTTACCATGCTCTGGATGAGTTGGGAAGTGCTCCATATGAAAAGAAGTCTCAACCAGCTCACACAGATTTGGACACCTTTGCCACAACCAGTGCACGAGCATACAAAGGTTATTTGCAGAGGTCTGTACAGCTGCCAAATGTTCTTGTCAGAATTTAAAATCTCCCAAATATTCCAAAGCTGAAGACCCTCATCTGTGTGCTTGTGACTGTCAGTCTTACAATGCAACATTCATACACAACAAAGCCTTTGAAATAAGGTTGCGTCAATGAAAACAGAAAATTACCTAACCTCCCAGGAAAACCAAGGTTTCTTACCAGCTTTATATGTTTACCTACAACCAAAGGAAAACAAAACCTAGTAGTTCCCCACTTCACTGGGTATGTGTTCCAAGAGCCCCACATACATACTGTAACCATGCATAGTACTGAACTCTATATAATAGACTATGGCTTCATATATACATATCTATATATATATACCTATGATAAAGTTTAATGTAAGTTAGGTAGTAAAAGATTAATGATAGCAAGAATAAAATAAATGTAGCCATGTACTATAGTAAAAGCTATGTGAATTGTCTCTCTCAAATGGTCTTATTGTATTTTGCTTTTTGTTTGCTTGTTTGTTTTAAATTTTTGAGACAGGGTAGCCCCAGCTGGCCTAGAACTCACTATGTAGACTAGACTGTCCTTGATCTCACTGAGATCTGCCTGCCTGCTAGGATTAAAGGCATGTGCTATCATGCCCAGCTTGTGTTGAATCTTTGAACTGTGATTGACTGCAGATAACAAAACACAGAGCACAAAATTTGGATAAAAGGAAACTAGTGTGATCTGCTAAAGTGCTAACTGCCCAGACCACTGGGATATGAGTCATTCTGGGGATGACCAAGTTTCCCTTAGAGCAAAAGCTGTATCATTGATTTAGTTTACTTGTGTGTGCACGTGTCTGTGTCTGTGTGTGTATGTGTGTGTGTGTGTGTGTGTGTTACATGCACTACAGCATGTATGTATAAGTCAGAGTTTGACTCCCCATCTCCATTTCAATTTTTCAATAAATTTTAGTCTGGGAAATCAGAAATCCAATTTGCTAGAGTTTTCTATCTGGTAAAACTGAACACATTGCTGAGTAGTTCATGTGTCTTTTATAACGGGTTTTTAGCTCAGGTTTAACACAGTAATGCTTGGTTCTGTTATTGAGACACATTCTGTACTGTAGCTGGATTCTCCATAAGCAGATTATACCCTTGCCTTGTTCTGGAAGCTTTATTCCTGAAGGAATAAAAGCAGGAAGGTGTGTGTGTGTGTGTGTGTGTGTGTGTGTGTGTGTGTGTGTCTAAAATATAAATTCTCCTCAATATATCTAAATTTATTTTCAGGTGCAAAGATGTTTTAAAAGTTTCAAACCAATAACCATGAGACAAAGTCTCTAGTTATGGTATGATTTCTCTTGGGACTGGGGGACTATTCCACTGCTAATGCAATGATCAATATCATCATGATATTAAAATTTAAAATTATGGATTTGGCCACAATAGAGTTACTTTTTGTATATGATGATCTAGAAAAATGTCTTGTATTACTTAAATATAGTCAGTATATTTCATTGTGATATGAATTTTAGAGTCATTTGCACTTCTACAAACATGTTCATTTTCATCCCAAGGAATACTAATTATGTTCAATTGTTATACTGTTCAGTATAGTAATTAAGTTGCAATACAATGAAGAAACAGAAAGATCTAATTTAATCTGGAAATAACTGGTGTATTAGAACTGAATACAACTAGATCCACCATGAAGTTGAATAATGATTTCTGATAACAATTCCAAAGAAGAATTGGTATAATTTTTAATATTCAAAACAAGATATGTTGCAGATAAGACACTATAGAGAATCCCCAAATCTGTAGCATTTTCTTAAAGGCATTTCTATCTGATCCCAGTGCTTTTTTAATAACACTTACTATGGATCTCTTGCTAAGTTGCTCTCTCCATTTTTCAACTAAACAGTTTTCAAGAAGCATCATCCTAAAATAAAAATATTTTTGGTAAGCAACTTTCGATTATAAAAGTAAAACATTTAACAATATAGAAAATTGTGCTTATTTTTCAACAATCCTTATCCTTTATAACCTGTATATCAACTATTAATAATTGAAGGGTTTTTCCTTGTTTTCTTTGTCCTTGTGCAGTTTTCAGATCACATTGTATATTCAGATCACACTCCACATTTCCTTTCATTATTACGCTGTATTTGTTTTCCAGTAAGATGAGGAAAACACAAAAATGAACCAGAAACAGTATGGAGAAACAGTTGTGGATATTCACCCAGCCATTCAGTAGTGCTGAACCCCATTCTTGTTTATGGAAAGTTCCCGGTGTTGTGCTGAATATCTTTCATTAGAATAATACGCATTGGTCTATGATTTCTTTAGGACAGCTTTCTGAAAGCAAAATACTGGGACCAAGGGATTTTCAAAGAGTTTCAAGCAGAGTGCTCAACTGTTTCCAAAATGCTACTTGTACTTTCTTCCAGTTCACTAACAGTAAAAATGTTAAGTTAAAATGGAATCTTCTGTTTAAGTTTTGGAAATACAAAGGTATTTTTAATGTTTATTTACTATTTATATTTATTATGGAAATTTTCTCTATGGATTTGTGTAGATATTTATACATTGTACTCTCAACTTTTTAAAGCTTAATTTTATAGACTATCCCCATTTCTTCATCATAACTATTACACTGCTCTCAAAATTCTTTTGCTTTTCTATTTTCTTTTGTGACTGCTATGCACATATTATTCAGCTAAAACTATGCACTGAAAATTTTCCTTCATAGGACTGGAGAGATGGCTCAGTGGTTAAGAGCACTGGCTGCTCTTGCAGAGGACTGGGGTTTGATTTCTAGCACCCACACGGTGGCTAACAACCATCTGTAACTCCAGTTCCAGGGGATTTGATGCCCTCTTCTGACTTCCTCAGGCATTGAATGGCATGGATGCGCTTACCTACATGCAAGTAATACACTCATAAACATTAAATAAAAATAATAAATAAAATATTTTTAAATGAAATTTTTCCCTCATAATTTCTTATGTTGATGATATGTTTGTATAGCACTTTCCCTTTTGGATGTCATATTTCTGATTACTTTTATCCTCTTTGATTAAGTCTTTTAAGTATCAATTTAATTCATTTTAAATTTGCTTTGTAGTACAGGCTATTTTCCCAAATAAATAACACATACATTCACATTCTATCATTTTGCCATATTTCCTTCCAAATAGATTTTTATTTTATCTGTTGAAATTTTTTTTCAAAGAACATTTTCCTCAGTTGGGTATATTTTTCACATGCTCGTAATCCCAGCTATCTGGAACAGAGACTGAGGCAGGAAGGCTACAAGGTCAAGATCTTCCCAGACTACCAAGGTCAGCATATAAGGCACTCCCTCAAATAAAAACTAAAGTGAGGGCTGAAGGATTAACTCAGTAGTGTGGACATCTATTAAAAATACTTTAGGGGCTGAAGAGATGGCTCAGTGGTTACGAATACTGGCGGCTCTTGCAGAGAACCCAGGTTTGATTCCTGGCACATGGTGGCTAACAACTGTCCATATAACTCCAGTTCCAGAAGAATCCAGTACTCTCTTCTGACCTCCATGGGCATTGCATGACACAGGTACACTTGTATGCAATACACCCATACATAAAAAATGAAATAAAACACTTTTTAAAATGACAGCTCATGCACACCTTTAATCTCAGCACTCTAGATGCAGAGGCAGGCAGATCTCTTTGAGTTCAAGGCCAGCCTGGTCTACATAGTGAGTTCCAGTCCAGCTGGGGTTACAAGGAAACCCTTCCTCAAAAAAAAAAAAAAGCCAAATAACTGGCATTTTTTTGCTGTGATTGTCATTTTCAAGATTTATTTAATTTTTTTTATATGTTTATGTGAGTGTCTGCATGTGTTTATGTGTACAATGTGCATGCTGGTGCCCTTGGAGGCCAGAGGAGGGTGTCGGATCCCTTAGAATTGGAGTTACAAAAGGCTATGAACTACTGTGTGGGTGCTGGGAACTGAGCAAGTGCTCTTTCCCACTGAGCCATCTCACCAGCCCCACCCATGTCCTCAGTCTCTGTTTTATTGCTTTTAAAACCATGATTGCTGAGTGAGATTCATGCTTTTATAAGCAGTTCCTCTGTCCCCTGGAGCATACCTTGAGCGCCACTCATAACACATGATGAGGACATCTTGATGGGGCAGGATGTGTGGGCACTGGCAGGAAGAATTTGTGATAAGGGGGACTTGAGTTCGAGGGATGGGTGAGGACGACTTGAAGATCTCTTTTACATCCACCACTGTTGTTACCTCATTGCAACCACTCCTCTGCACGGCTTTTATTTTGGCATGAATAACTGCAATTTAAAAGTCTATATAAGTGTTGTGATTGAAGCCTTTTTGGAAAAACTAGACATGGTATGTTTAGCCAAATCCTGAGCCTCAGTCCTATAATTATGGTCATGTCCAGACAGCCCTAGTGTAGGCAGAAAGCCCACACAGTCATCTGATAAATTCAAAGCATCCCGTTTTTGTCTCTATTGTCTTAAAATTATTGATTCACACTGTAGGATGAAAAGGAAATTAAAAAGCCAGTTTTGGTTTAGGCTTAAGCTTTTAGGTCAGCAAATATCCTTGTTTGTTTCTACGTTCCCTCTAATGATTTGGAGTATCACATCCTCAGATTCAAAACTCAGAGCAAAGCACATATTCCTTCAATGGTCCATCTTATGTTTGAACTTCTGTTTTACAGAAAAAATTATTAGAATCATAACATTTCCAACTGCCAGGAATCTCTGAAGATTGTGTTCTCAATTCATTAATTTCACAAACTGACAATACAAAGCCCAGGGCGAGACCCAATTGTTATTACAGATGGCTGTTCAAGTCACTGTCTTTGATCAAGTTTTAAATTCCAGTTTCTTTGGACCCTGGATATTATTAATGCCTCTTGTGGAGTTGCAATGAACCTAACATGGGTCTGTTTTGGATTCCATCCTAGGAAGCTGCCTTATGGAGGAGCCAAAAGCACATCAATAAAACACATTTCCTGACTAAGGTGGCTCTAAGGCATGATACCCTGGAGATAATCGAAACAGAGAAAGTCTAGTTATCCTCTAGGGGCTGGATCTTGGCAGATAAGGGACCAAACAGATCAAATTAAGACAACTTATACCAGAACAAATTTTAAGAAAAAAGCTAGTATTTTTTGCTGTTGTTGAATTATCCACATTGGCTATGCGTGATTCTCAAACCAACAGCTGAACTACAGATAACTTCTCCAGATTTCTATGTCTTCTTACATTCACATGTGATGATTTTCTTACTGATAGAAAGGTTCAGTTTTATTTTTAAATGTATTTTATTATTTTAATTTTATATGTATTGCCTGCATGTATGTCAATGTACCTGTGTTGTGCGATATCTGTGGAGGTCAGAAGAGGGAGTTGGAGTCCCCTGGAACTGGAGTTATGGATGGTGATAGCCGCCATATGGGTGCTAGGAATTGAACCTAGGTCCTCTGCAAGAGCACCCAGTGCTCTTAACTGCCGAGTCATCTCTCCAGTGCCCTCCCCCCACAAAGGCTCAGTTTTAAATATGAAAACTAAATTGGTAAAGAAACTGTATTTTTCAAAAAAGATTTTGTTATTTTAGGTGAAATAATTCAAGAAACAGAAGTATATAGGTATTAAATAGCCCATTTTTTTCTTCTTTTTATGTGTATGTGTATGCATGTTCACATGTGTGTGTGTGTGCATGGGTGCAAGCAATTTAACAACTGAGCCTTCTCCCCAGATCTCAAGTAGACACTTTAAAAGAACGTAGTTTATGTAACTTTAATTTTAAGTGATGATAGAATTAAGAATACTTAAAACCTTTTAAATAACTTTCTTTGGGGAAGTACTAAATGGTTCTATCAAGTAAGAGAGAGGAGGGCATCAATGTTATAGCCATGGGATTTTAGTATATTCTCCACATTTCCTTAAGATGCTAAATATTTGTAGATGTTTATAAGAAAAAAGACGCATGAGCAAGTCTTATCTTCTGGGCCTCAGATGATCAAATTCTGGGCCCACATCCTCATCCTTCCTGTGGCAAATTAACCTCAGAGGGAGAGCAAAGGCCTGTGGTACTTTCTGCATAGCACTGTTCACTGGGATAAATCACTTTTACTTGGGGTATTTTTGTTTTTTCCTTTATTTATCCAAGAAGTTTTACAGTTGATACTGAGCTGTCCAGAAACTGTATAATTAAATTAGCAAGAACAATTCTGTCATCTTTTTTTTTTAATTTATTTATTTTTGGCCTAGTTGATCTAGCTTTTGGAAAGACACTATTATGGTTTCCATGTCCTAATGTGCCAATTCCCAAAAGCAAATGTTTTTATCAGAAGACTTACCATAGCTGTAGTTTTTGCTCAAGTATGTTGTCAAAGTTGGCTTCACCTTTTTACACTTACACCGATCTAAAAGACATAAAAGAGACATAAAATAAACTGAAAGTCTGGCACAAGGAGAGGGAGCTAAGTTTAGCAGGGAACTCACCAGGGCTCAGGTGTTTGCAGTCCACATCAAGGGGCCTTTCTTGTACCATCATATCTGGTGTGATGTCAATCCACTTCACATCTGAAAGACAAATAGGGCCACAAGGGTGGGGTCAGTAACTGGGTCTCCCATGCAAATGGACTAAGGAGTCACCTGAAGCTATAAACACAATCATCCAACATAACAATGCCATGGTTAAATTGGCTGGTGATTGTCAATGACTTTTTTTCATAATGCCACCTCAGACTTAAGAAAGAAGTCTTTCGGGTAAGACTTTGCCTATCTAAGCAGAAATGAATATGATCACACACCAACCTGGATTATTCTTATTCCCACTTGCCTGAGCCATCCTGAAGTACCGAGTCAACACTTCTCCAATCAGAACAACAAAAAATCCACAATATATTTTTTTTAGAGGAGTTTGAATCGGATCCTTCACTTAAAAGTTTCATTTTTAAAGCATGCTCAAAAGCAATGCTCAGAAATATAATCTCTCCCTCTCCCTCCTGAGCTACATCCCAAGCCCAATTTCTTTAAATATATGATAACCTGATTTAGGAAAACCCTAGATAAAATAACGCAAAAATATTCTTAGGTATCATTTCAAGAAGTGAATTTAGTCTTGCTCCTTCCAACAAAAGCAGGAAAAGAGAAAATATGGTAACAAAACAGCGACACCAGGGGCACCAGATCAGCGACTAGGAACCAGAATTCACTGTCTTCCAGGTAACTACATTGACAAACCTTATTCCAGCAGGCAGTAGTAATTATTAACGCTAGACGACAAAGAACATCTTTGCCACCACCATGTGGTGGGACAGATTAAATTCATGCCACATGCTTAACACCATGTACCCTGCATGCTATTATTGTTTGTTAATATCCTTAAATAAAAACACTCCATTAGTTTCACTGTAAGCAAGCCCCTGCCCATGACCTTCACGGAGCGCCTGTGCTTTTTCCCACCACTAGAGATCCCTGGAAAATCGTCTTGACTGCCCTTCCACCTCTTCTGAACTCAGTAAACTGTGGTGGGCGCAGACCACCCGCTGGCAGCTGTAGGCGTGGCCGCCTGGTTCTCAAGTGACAGCCAGCCCCTGCTATCCTCTGGCCTCCCTCCATCCCTCCTTCTGCCTTACCCTCCGGGAGGTCGGTAACTATGGCCTCGGGAGAGATGCACACACCACGGTCATAGACCGGCAGCTCGTCGCAGGCCAGGCTCTCTGGCCAACTGTGGTTGTACATCTTCATGAGTGGCTCGCAGTCGTCGCGCGCGCGCTGGCAAACAGACTTGCAGGGCTTGATAGGATCGTGCAGAAACTCCAGGGTGCAGATGGGCGCGTACATGGCGCAGAGGAAGAAACGCAGCACCGCGCTGCAGTTCACGTCCACCAGCTCCTCGTACTGCTCAATGGCCAGGATGGCGTTCTCTTGCGTGCTGTGGTGCAGGTGGTTAGGCATCCGCGTGATGTTCCAGGGCATGTGTCGGCACATGGGGATGCGCACAGACTCACAGGGCGCGCCTCGCACACCCAGCGCCAGGTGCAGCCACAGGCATAGCGCCACCAGGACGGAGCGGAGCATGGCACTGCCCTCGGGCGCTGCCGCGGTGCAGCCAGGCGCCAAGGGCTGTTCTCTTCCAGTCCCCGCTGCTCTCCCCGTCGCTACTCCGAGGATCCGCAAGTCGTCTGGAGCGAGGAAGAGCTTTCCTCCCTGAGGCCCTGTCTACAGTAACCGGGCCCCTGGGGTCTGGCCTCCGATCGCCCTCGGGGAGCAGCACTCAGCCTCCGGGACACGGACCCCCGCGACGATCTCCTGGCTCTGACCCCGCAGCTCGGAGCGCAGCCGGCTACGGCCATTGCGGGACCCTATTTATCCCGACATGTCCCCTGACGTGGGCTCAGCTCCCTTGGCAGCTGCAGGCGCGACGCAGGCTCCCCCTCGGCTGCTCCACCCCCGGCCCCTCCGTGCAGAATCGGTGACATCATCTCTGCCGGTTGGCAGCCAAGGGCCACAGTCCTGAATTCCCCCAAAGTTCCTCCTTTGGGGGCTGGCTATCCTTTTTATTCGGATCAAGAAAATAAACGTCTTGCAGTTGGTCGTTTGGGACACTGGACAAAAGACAGGGAGACTTGCAGGAGAGAAAGACACTGCTCCCTTGTCCTAAACGTTTCCTCAAGAATAGAGTTGGAGCGACCGGACACTGCTGCTCCAACTTTGAAACAGTTGCTCACTTCCAGTAGGTGGCGTGAGAGGCACCGAGTAGTGCGAGCAGCGTAGAGCCCGCAAAGTTGAGCACTGTAATGTTGGAACAGGACCGACAGTTTATATAAACCACCCCCAGCCCGCCCCCAGTCATGTTCAATTTGTTTTTGTTTTTGTTGTCGCTGCTGCTAATGTTGTTACTGCGGCTCGTGGTCTTAGTTCTGGCTCACGTTTGTCAGGACACTTGGTTTGTCCAGCTCCAGGAACTTCCCGGCAGCGGTACAGTAGCATCTTGGGGATCCGGAAGAGAAACTTCTAAGCACTAATTCCTGAGCCCAACACGGGTGGAAAAACAAAGAACTCGGAACAGCACAATCTGAAAGGTTTTCCCAGCCGGACAGCCTAAGATCTTGAGCTTTGATATGCTTGGGGATGGTACTTGAATTACAACGGACATGCAAATATGCATGTTCTCTTTGCATTAAAAAGAGGCAGCAAACTCAAAGCTGGTCGGTTATTCACAGAAAACAGAGGCCTTATTGTTGCAAATTTACATCAAATTTCAGGCTTGAGGCAGCAAACTCCTGATGTGTGTTTGCTTAGGTCACTAGTAATAAGAAAACCAGTTCTCTGAATGTTAATCTTTAAAAACACAGTTTAACTTGAAATCTGAATTTGAGCCAGTTCTTTTTGCTCTCCAAAGCTTAGATCTGAAATTTGTGTAGTTTTGGATCTGATCAAGAGTGAAGATTCAAATAGTTGGGGAAAGAAACAAGCAATTTCAAAGTGTTATTTTTTAGGGAACACAAATTAAGCATGATGAGTTAAAAGGCTAAAAAAGACAAACATCTTACAGGATTCACCTAAGAGATCTGGTGTTATGTGGGGGTAGGCCAGGGTATCTTAATGTACCCAGGGAAATCTACATAGGTATTCTGTATTTCTACAGTGTCAAGTTTCAAAGACACCAAACCAAGTTAGGCAAAAATCAAACAAGAGTGGTGGCCCAGATGGCATCTCGAGCCCTTTCCAGAATCCTAAATCTAAACCCTCACCCAGTTTAAAAAAAAAAAAAAAAAAAAAAAAATTTTATTTTGATATATCACAGTGAAAGATTTATCGTCCTCTTTTTTTTTTTTTTTTTTTTTTTTTTTTTAAAAAAAAAAAAAAAAAAAAAAAAAATTCACTTAAGTGGGAAGAGTAAGAGGAAAAACTTCCTATCACTTTCCTCTAAGCTCTTGCGGAGGGCTCACTCATCTGCAGCTAATCTGAACCTGTTCAATTAAACTATTCAGGCACCACACCACTGCACCTCAAAGTTTCAAGAGCTTACTACCTGAGATTCTCTGATTGCCTATTGTTTAAGAAAAGGAGTACCAAAAATAAAGCTCCATGGTAAAGCATTTACCTAATATGGGTGAGGCCCTAAATTCATCCCAGCTTGGAGGGGAGGAGAGGGAAGGAAGAGAAGGAGCTAGGGAAATGATAAGACAGATCATTTGGGGCCAAGGAGTATAGCTCATTGGTAAGGTTGCCCCAAGTTCACCCTCAGGATGAGGAATCTGTCTTCAAATGCTCTTTGTAGCCCCATTAGGCCGTCTGTAGAAGCAGCAGGTGAGACTCATAAGAGATTCTGTCAATTGTTCTTCCTCTCCCAGCCCTCCAGAGAGGCTGTGATTCCTGAAGACTACTTTCAGCACTGGAACCATTATGATCTCGCTGAGAGCTTCTCTTGAGTGCCGCCCTGTTGGGCTCTCACATCCACTTCTCTCCCCTTCCTAAGTGCCTGTTGTTCCCTCTAGGCTGAGCCCTCAGCCCTCCTGACTCCCACCTCTACACTCCCTTCCATTCCATTGTGTACTTAAGGATGGAGAGTTCCTTGTCAAATGGCCTCTCAAGAATCCTTTTCTACCTACTGACTTCAGCAACTTCCAAAGCCAAAATTGGTATTGGCTTCTCAAATTTGACTGAACTGTCTCTTGGTTCTGTCTACCTGAATATCCCATGCATGATCAACTCAAAGTCAATCAGCCCAACTGGAATTGTTTTTCTCTCCTTACTCAGGACTGAATTCTCAGTGCCCCAAATCAGAAGGCTCTGCCTCAGACTGAAATCTAATTCCCAACTCCATTCTACCCACACTATCCCCATCACCTTAGCTCAGCCAGATCTCTGGCTGGGATGTAACAGCTTCTTTTTGGTCCTGCACATTCTCTATGCTGACACCTGAGTGAGCTTTCTAAGGCACACCCCTGATGATGATCTTCCCTGGCTTTTTGTGGACTGATGGCTCCCACAGACCTCAATATTAATTACAAAATCTATGACATAGCTTTTAAGGCCCTCTGTGATCTGATTCCAGATTGTCCTTCTGATATGTGCTTGAACCCCAATATTGGACCCCCCCTTTTTATTCCTTCATTAAGGAATGCTCTCAAACCACTTCTAACTGGTTCGTGCCTCCTCCTCATTGACATCAAGTGTAAAGATAAATAAACTGGAAAGCAACTGGCTTTTCAAAACTGCCTTATTTTACTTGATTCAATATAATGATAGAATATGCAAACTTCATAAAAACTATAAGCTTCATTAGAGGAAGCCATAAAGGTATAAAATCCATCAGAATGGCTGAAAGTCTCTAAATTGTAAAAGCGCAGTTTCCCTAGTGACCTAACAGTTATAAAGACCTGGCTCTGCTCATCCCTTATGAATTGGTCACTCCCAAGCCTGAGAGGAAATGTTTGTGGAGCCCACCTGTCTCCTCTAAGGCCACAGAAAACATTCCTGCCAGTTCCTGGGTAAATAATCTTGAGAAGGAGACCTTTAAGACCAGGCACTAACTCGACTCCCCACTAAGCTTAGTTGTGTGTTGTCATTGCAGTCGTCACTGTCCCTGTCCATCCCCCTCCCTTTTCTTTGTCTAGTTGTAGATGCTTGGTTCCCATGGACAGCCTCTACCTCTCACTGTATCTTCTTTGAATAAAGGAATTATTCCTTGCCTGTTGCAGGTCTGGCTCTGGTTTCTTGTCTCCTACTCCTCTATCTTTCCTTTTATTCTCCAAAAATCTAACAATAGACCCTAACATTACTTAAACCAAATCAACATTGTTCTCACATGGTACCCCACCACCACCACCACCACCACTTGATTCAAACCTCTATCTATGCTTGAAGCTTGTCATGTGGTAGGTGGGGAAGTCTCACTGCAGTGTGACCTTGGGGATCTCGAAGTGTCAACGGTAACTGGTTTCATTTTTTTTTCGGTTAGGACCCATCTTGACACTTTAATACTGGGGTGGAGGGATTGCAATTTTGCCAAGAAATAAATTACAGCAGGCACAGCAGGTGCTCACCTCTGCTTTCCCCTCCTGGGCTTTTTGAAATCTCTTGAACGCTGTAGGCCATAGAGAAACAAGAACTCTTCAGGTTCCCTCTTCACCCCAAAGCCCTCAACTCGCGATGCCCTTCAGGATGCGAGTGGCGCCGCTGCCACTGCGTTTCCTGTTGGCAGCAGAGAGCAGTGAAAACAAGCTTCACTAGGCAGCGGCCAAGGCAGAAAAAGCTCCCGAACTATTCACCAGAGCTTTCACAGGCGGGCATCCCGGCCTCGGGGAGTCTAGATCCGAGCAGCGGGAGAGGCCACGGCGCGGGAGCGCCAAGTCCGAGGCGCACTGTCCGCCCAGCGCGAGTACCACGCGCGGCCCTCTCCGCCGGCCCTCGGCGCCCTCTGGGCTCCGGCTGACTGCGGGGTGGGGGACCGCGATGCCTGCGTGCGTTCCTCTCCCTGTGGCCGGAGGACCTCGGGGCGCCTGGCTGCTGGGCGGCCTCTGGGTCTGGGCGCTGGGTGGCCTGTGCGGCCTGGGGATGGCGGACTCCCCGGGCACCCCGCGGCCTTGCCAGGCGCCACAGCAGTGGGAGGGACGTCAGGTTCTGTACCGGCAGAACAGCGGGCACAACAGCCGCACCCTGCTGTCCTACGATGGGCTCAACCAGCGAGTGCGGGTGCTGGACGAGAGGAAGGCGCTGATACCCTGCAAGAGGTAGGCTGCGGGCAGGCAGGGGCCGGGGACCCCAAGGCAGGGGCCTGGCACCAGGGCTCAGCCTCCAGCCCCTCGCGGCTCCTTCGTTCCTCTAGAGAACTTTCACACACAGGGGCTCTGGGGGGCGGTGTGGTCAGCCCAGAAGGACAATGGTGGGCAAAGAAAGGACTCACCGAGGGCAGAATTTAACCACTAGACACCCCAAGTCCAAGGTCACCCTGAGACTCCTCTGCTGAGTCAGGTTCCTGGCTCTTGGAGACCCTGCAGGCTAGGGCGTGTCTTTTGCAATGGCTCATTTCTTTTAGAAGGCAAAATATTATCTAAGAATTTTATTTTTCGTTCAAAAATTTTAAAAACTACATTCATTTTGTGTGTGTGTGTGTGTGTGTGTGTGTGTGTGTGTGTGTCTGTGTGTGTCTGTGTAGGTCAGAGGAGAACTTGCTAGAGTCAGTTCTCTTTCTCTACCAAGTGGGTCATATGACAACAGTATAAAAGGTTTGGAGAATTGATTTTTTTAGATTGCACACAAGCTCATTACCCTATTACAATAATTAAAACTTTTGTTTACACCTCACAGATATTTTCTTTGGAAAACTAGTTTTACATAGTGCCATTAAAACACATGTGCCTGAAACCTGAATCCTGTCTTTACTTAACCTCCTCTCTTGCATGTTCTTGTCATTTTATTGGTTGGTGTCTGTTTTTAAGGGCTTCACAAAGTTGCAATAAGGACTATGTTACTGTGGGCATGCGTGCACGCACACACACACACACAAGCAAATGGTCAGTTCAGCTTTCCATTTTATTTTGACGGAGGACACACTTTTTCTTGGATATCACCTTGGTTCTTGCTTCGTTCTGACCTGATTTCTATTTTGGATCACCACCTGCTTCTCTGGCCTACCCCTCCCATGTCTCCCAGTTTGTTTCCTGTGGGCTGTGCATGCCTCTGTGGCATTTACATGGAAATAAATATCCATGGTTTAAGGCTCCAGAGGGAAGAAAGATTGGCGGTAAACAGAAACCCTTAGATTCTAGCACAAAATAATGTTTGACTATACCAATTTATGTAAGAGGCTTCGTTTTTGAGGTGTTAGGATTCTTGAGAAAATTATGTAAAGGATGGAGTCTTCCCAGTCATCCACCCAGAGTGCAAGATGGTGCTTCACAAAAAGCACTCCTCCCACCTTACTCTTGGATTCTGCTTCTGAGGATTCAACCAACCCAACCACAGAGATAAATATGTGAGAAAGTGTGCTGGATAGATAGCTTTCATGTCAACTTGACACACCTGGGTTGAGGGAGCCTCAACTGGGGAATTGCCTTCATTGGACTGGCCTGCGGCCATGTCCGTGGGGCACCTTCTTGATTGTTGAGTGATGTGGGAGGGCCCAGCCCACTGTGGGTGGTACCATCCCTGGGCATGTGGGCCTGTGTTGCATAAGAAAGCAGGCTGAGCAGGGGCCAGGGGAGCAAGCCAGTAAGCAGCCTTCCTCCTTGGCCTGTGCTCCAGCCTCTGCCTCCAGGTTCCTGCCCTGAGTTCCTACCTTGGGCTTCCAGATGAACTGTGACCCAGAATATGTAAGCTAAATAAACCCTTTCTGCCCCAAGTTGGTATTGGTCAGAGTGTTTTCTCACAGCAGTGGAAAAACAAACTAAGACAGAAAGCACTGCATCTATACTAAGCATGTTCAGACCATTTTTTGTTATTATTCTTTAAACAAGTCAGCATAGATTTACATAGTACTCATATTGTGTTGGGAATTGTAAGCAATCAAGAGTGTGTGGAAGGAAATTTGTAGGCTCTATGCATTTTTTTTTCCATTCTTTGGTAAGGGACTTGAGCATGCATGGATTTGGATATCCACAGGGTCCCTGCAACCTAGAAGGCATGAAACAGCACGGTCTTTATGGAAGATTGGGAGTACGTACAAAAACTTTCAGGAACATGAGTGCTTCTCATTGGATCTTGAAGGACATAATATCCATCACTTGAGTGTGTATTGTATAGAGCAATAGTGCTGAAACTTGCCCCCCCCCCTTTTTTTTATGTGTATGACTGTATTGCCTGCATGTATGTGAGTGCGCCCGTGTCATGCAATGCTGTGGAGGTCAGAAGAGGGCTTTGGATTCCCCTGGAACTGTAGTTAAGGACAGTTCATAGCTGCCATGTGGGTGCTTGGAATCTAACCCAGGTCCTCTGCAAGAGCAGTCAGTGCTCTTAACGGCTGAGCCATCTCTCCAGCCTCAAAAACTTGACCTTTTTATATAATTTAGTTTACATTTCACAACAAAGCAGGGTAGGTTTTATTGCTTACATTTCATTGAGAGACTCTCAGGCCTAGGGAGACTGAAGAACTTTCTAACACACAGCTGAGGCTTAAGAAAGCTGGGTGGACTCTGACTCCTATAACATGCTAGATTCATATTCATTCATCCATTCTTCATTCAGCAAGCCTTTGTTCATGGCAGACACTGTATAAATCAGTGGGTCCTGATTTTTCAGTGAGGTCATGTCTGAGGGTGGAGCCACATAAATTAATAATCTATATGGTAAGATGAGGGATAATGAATATACCTAAGATGGGTATCTAACTGAGGCTTCCTACAAGAGGTGAGATCCCAAATTAGTGATCCTAAGAAACCTGAATGCACTGACCATGGGTGGCATGGAGAGAAAACTTTGTCATGGGGACACAGATGTATTCCAGGTCTAAGATGCTGTCATCCGGGGTACACAAGCAGACCTGAGTATCTTCTGAAATCTGCATGCCAGTCACTCCAAGGGTTGAAAGCAGAGTGTGGCGAGAGGTCATGCTGAAGGAGATCAAGCAGTGGAATGTCATAATTAGATGACATAAAGATCACTGGATGCAGCATGGAAGTTGCAGCCTCAAGACGTGAACACAAAATGGAGCACTGCTGCGCGAGTGCAGAAGCAAAAACGCATAATGGCAATGGATATAGGAAAAGGTGGCCACATTAGGGAAGGGTTAAAGGGGTTTTACTGAAGAATGTATAAATGATCAAGATGCAGGATGTGAAGGAGAAGGGAAGAGTCAAGAAAGCTGCTGCTGTTGGTGCCTGAATCTAAGTGTACTTATGGAATGGTAGCTGTTCCCCGGGACAGGGCTTGCTTTCTCCACTCTTGAGTCCGAGTGGACCCCTACTCTCTAAGTGTAGTTTTGTGAAGGATTACAGTAATGTTCACTGGTAAGTAGCTGAGGTGAATATTCACTAGCATAGTCAAAGTTCACTGCTAATGCTAAGCAGTGTGGCCAGGAGGATGAGGCTCCACTCTTCTCCAAATATTTTATGATTTAAGAAATTTGGCTTTAAGGTCAAATAAATCTAGGTCTGAATCTAGTTTCTGAAAGTGAGTTTTTGAGTAAATTGCTACAGATTTCTGAGACCTGATTTCCACTGTAACAAAATGGGAATATTTGCAACAACCAATTTATTAGAAGACTGTGAGGATGAGATTAACTAAAATACACAAAACACTTGGTCCAGAACGTGATACTAGATAGAAGATGCTTAGTGAGTGCCACAGTTGATCCCCTCACCACTATTACCATCATCATCTTCCTGAATTTAATTTCCCATATTCTAGGGACTCACTGCCAGCCCTTGTGAACTCAGAAATTTGATCCAGCAGTACACACAGGAGCAGACCTAGTGCACAGATTCAAATGCTGAAATATATTTCAGTGCACTTTGCAGCTAGCATGGAGGCCAGCAGTCTCAAATACACAGAGATAGACTAGATCATTCTCCCCCTGTATTCCAAACCATGTGGGAAGTTAAAATATAATTAATCAAGAGGTTACACACAAAGAGAGCAAGTGCATTAAAAAAATTTGAAGATTGTTTGTCTTAGGCTCAGTTTTATGGGCAATGTTGAGTTTTCCATCACAAATAAGATATTTCAGTCCAGAATAATGTTCAGCAATAGCCAGGAGAAGGTGAAGCAGCCCATCCGTCTTCACAGTTGTGTTGCTCTGATGGTGTTCCCTGCTTCACACTCTGCTCGTCCAGACTCCTTCTACTCTGAACAGTGGGTTGGCATTGCTCAAGCCTGTACCAGCAGCTCTCCTTCTTCCATGACACCATAACTGTCTAGTATGATCTTCAGACAGGTATATTGTACTTGTAGTAGAAGCCACAGTTAAATCTTTCTGGCCTAGAGACTTCTGTGTCCTCGAGGTGATTCCCCATTTCTCATACCCTAAGAGCTGGTTTCACAGTCTGACTTGTTGAAGATAATTGTATTCTTCTTTGTCAAAAGTTTTTGGCAAGATACTGTCTCATAGTCCTATCACTGGCCCCCAGTGCCAGTGATGAAGAAAAGAATGTTTAGTGCATAAATACATTTTAAACTCAACATGTAAATTTGTTGGGACAAACTCAAAACCGTTTCAAGTAATATCAGCTGTATGGCCAAGCACCCAGATGTTATTTGAAGATAATATGGATGGGTTGTCTCTTTGTATTTATTAGTAAGTTGAGAAGTAAGTTTAGAATTGGATCAACTTCTTAAGATTCTCATTCTGAGTCCAGATAGTTATGGAAAATCCCACTGATAATTACTGGGGAATGACAAGGATTTTCCAGGATCTCTTCCCTAAGATGATGGAATAGATTAAAAGACTTTACGAGCTTCAGATAAGAGCAGCCTGGACTAAGAATGGGAAATATTAGTAATTGATACTTGTTTTCTGGTTCCAGCTGTCTCTTTCTTGACTCCTGGATTAAACTCATAAGAATTATGTTGGGAAGGCTGACGGGAAACCAAGAAGATTATTTTGTACTTCAATAAATACATAAGTATTTTATGAGGGAAGCAATTCAAAATGCTGAATGAACCCTGTGGGGACACCAGTTACTGCTTCTCACAGAATGGTGGCTTTGGTGCTGGGATTAACATGCACAGATGTTGAGGGCAGGGAGTTAGTGAATGAATTTGCACAGAAATAATATTTTCCAGTGTTACTGTGCTT